TCCCACCTCCCTCTCTGGCTGCTCGGCCTTAGGTCCATCAGATACAGTCGATGTACACTGCACTCATGCTCCGCTGCACCTCACACTCTGCAGAGATGAGGAGGACGAAAGAGGAACTGTCACAATGATGGCGATATGAAACATAGCACGACACAGGGAGAACAAACACGTGGTGCACAGCACCAGGTGAACACCAGGTCTGTCACAGTAAACTGTGCCATAGGAGGGCGTCATCTGTCCCACCATTATCTACTGCTTGTTTCCCAAAATTAGGGGTACCCCCCGCCGTACCCCAGCTGTCAACAGGCGTTGGCAGTGTTCACCCTAGGGGTGTGTATTGGCAAGAACCTGGCGATATGAAACATAGCACGACACAGGGGCAACCACATGATATATTGCAATACAGTGCGATACTATAGGCACCACTCTCAAATACATACAGACCCTATACAATCAACTAGTGGTCAAAGTTTTAAATGCAACACAAAAATGAACCAAAGCTGTACATATTTGCAGGTTAATTATTTATATAAAAAAATCGATAGAGTGCTGTAGAATACCAATACAGAAAACTGTTTTACTCGCCGTTACATTAAGAAATTTTAGATGAGAATTTACAGTGCCTTCGAAGGACTATGAAGGTTTTTTTGGAGACCCCGGATGTCGAGACAAAGGTGAAGAGATGAACTGATCGCTCTCTACTACGACGGCCAAAACTTCTCTGAATCTGTCAACTCCAATAACTTGAGAAACCAATCAGTGTCAGTTTGTAACTGCTGGAATGATGTGGACTCAAACCGAGGACAAACTGTTTGAATCTCTTGACATTATTAACTTAATTAAAATAAAATCTTTTTTTTTCTCCCCATCATCGCTCTGCTTGATTTTACGTTGTTCCTTCACAGAAACAATATTTTTCCCTATGAAAAATGAACAGAGAAAGGAGGCAGAAGCAACAAAAATCTCCCCTCATGCACCCCCCCTCCCCCTGCCCACTTTCTTTTTAGTAATTACCATCCAGCTGCTTGGAGGAACAATGCTTGGCTCTCTTCCAGACGGCTGACTTCATACACTCTGTGCCACGCTCAATTTGGAGCGCAGCGGAAGCTGGGCAAGACTGGCACCCTCCAGGGCATTGCTGTGTCTCTATGGGACTTGTGTATGAGTGTGTGAGTGTGTGTTAGTGTGTGTGTGTGTTTTCTTCAAACCTTCCCAGTTGCCATCCGGTGGTTTAGTCGATGTCCTGTTCCCTTCGTAGTTCTTCGTCCGTCTTTTCATCACTGAAAAAATAAAACAAATAAAAGAAAAATAAAGATTAAATTAAATACCAAAACCTATGACAGAATAGAACCCCCCCCCCGCACCCTCTCAAGATTTGAAGATTATTATGAATTTTAATATTTTATACATTGAGCATCAAGATACACAAGTAATGTTTAAATTAATCCAGAGACTGAAATATATACTGACCAAAAAATGCAAAAAAAACAAAAGCAAAAAAATGCTTTGAAAGGTTAGACGTTAAATATAACATAGAAAACTTGCCATATTCTATAGTATTATATCAATTTTACTGTAGCAGCCAAAGGTTTAAATGTAAATTGCTAATCTAAAGTGGTTGAATATATATATATATATATATATATATATATATATATATCGAGATTCTATAAAAAAAGAAAAAAGTTCAGAGACCGAAAAGTCTTGGTCAGAAGTCAGAAAAACCAAGGTTTCAAATTTGACAAATCCTCTGAATATGATTCAATAAAACTTTGAACCAGAAAATACTTTTAAAAAAGTTTTTTGCTTTTACCCTATAAAAAAATATTTTTCAGACTAAGTCTGACGCCACCTCCAGACCGTCTTGGTGTCCTGGTTGGACCCAGACCAGAATCAGACACATCAATGCGTCTATGAAAAAGTAAAATTAGGGGCACAGAGAGACACTGATTAAAGTCCAGACTTCTCTGCCGGCTGATCAACACTTCACTTATCTCTAAAATTCTAATTTTAGTGGAACTGCAGCGGCTGACTTCACAGGAAGCTGATTAATAAAAAACACTCAGCCTTGGTGAGAAGCTGTTGAGAGTAAGAGGTCGCAGTTCACTGTGAATCCTTGTACACCCACAACACTTTCCAAAGCTGCCGGATGCTAAGAGCTGTTACCAGGCAACAAGTAGCTTTAACTCAGACTAGTAATGAGTTTTCTCTTTGCTCCCGAGGCACTAAGATAAAGTTTATTAGCAGAAAGTTGAGGCTGATTCTTACGAGATCACCGGGTGCTGAAACAAAGTCTGGACCGGAAGGAGCGTTGGGTCTAAACCCTGGGACGAATTGTCCCTGTGGAAGGAGGCAGCATTAAATTAGCTTTTTTTAAAAAACAAACAACAACAAAAAAAAAGAGTTTCTATGTATTTTCCCTTGTGTGATGTTTGAAGAACCATTTTAAACAAATTGTGGACAACAGAAGCAGTCTGACGCAGCAGGAAGAAATGCACCAAATTATCCAATCAACAACGAGTTTATCCCAACGTGACCTCCCTCAAGCTAAGCAGAGACGTTGAGCTCAACAATGGAGGAAAAATGTATCATTGCGGCTTGGTCGCTAACACCGCTGCTACGTTTTATTAGGACTAGAAGAGCTAGAGCTAAAGTTAGCCAGGCGGTGTGGATTTGAAGATTCAGCTGCAGTAACAAGGGGTTTTCAAAGCAAAGGCTCCAGAAACCCAAATATGATTGGATCTAATTTGATGAACGAGTGGAAAAATCTCAGAACGAAGGTCAGAGGGACAAGGATGAGCACAAAGAAAGTTAAAATCCAACATTTTAGTGTAACTGTACACGCACACAAACACATACACACACGCACACACAAACAAACAGTACCACAGTCCTGCCCCCCCATTCTGCTCCTCTTTTTCAAATACAATAAGGACCTGTTTGGGTAAAGTATGCACAGTTACCCCAATTCTACTACCCCTCTCCCCTACTACCCCCTCCCTCACACACAAACACACACACACATTTTGGTTTCTACTGTTTTTAAACAGAGGATCATTTAAGGAGAGGAAAAAAAAGCTCAAATTAAACGTGACAACTCTTTCTCTTCTGACCTTCCAGTTGACGTGGGGTGATTTGGTCTTGATAGTTTAATAGAGAGGTCTGTAATAGATTTAAATAAAAAAGATCATTTCCCAAATTTCCTAAAACCCAAAATCATGACAAGCAAAACAAATCACTCATCATTCCACTCCATAAAACACAGAAACCATGTGACATTTTCAAAATGTGTCTTGTTATTATGTTGACCAGGTTCTAGAGGCGACACTGTGCACATTTAAAGGTGATAACGGCCAAATTACTGCATGTAATATCAACCATTTTGCAGAACGTTATTTCCCGTTGGCTTTGGGAGAATTTCTTAACAGATGTAGGAACAATGTTTTCTAAAGATCGAGCAGTGATCCAACGCTCTCGGCCAACAAGAGAGGAATCCCAAATATGTCATTGACACATTGCTTCTGACTTTTGGTTAAAGATTCATTTGTTTTTCATGTTTATGAACCGGGATGTGATTAATCTGGTCCAGAGAAAACAACTTAGTGGGCCGCATTTGGCCCGCTGGCCTTGTGTTTGACAGGTGTTTCAGAAGATGTTGGAAGTCTCGGTCCCTGACATCGTCGGTTGGTGTTTGTACCGTTGCTGCAACATTGCCCGTGGCTCCAGTGTCTCTATCAGCAGCCTGTCAGCAGCCTGTCATCACCATTGTCAGGCAGTCGGTGTTACTGTGTGTGATGTGTCATTTACACCCATCATTTATGTGTGTTCCTCCGTCAGCCTCACTACAGTTACAGTGTCGTCCTCCAGACTCCGCCTCCACCTCAGTAACAGTCAGAACACCATGGCTGCTGAGCTGGCCAAAATAAACAGAGTTGTGTGACTGAGTTAACACACACACACACACACACACATCAGACAACTATTCACACCTTTGGTCGGTTACGAGTGTCTGTCTTGTCCTGTAGAAATGAAACAACCTCAATATAAGCAATTATTATTTTACTAGTTTCTCTTTATTATTATTATTGTTATTATTATTATTACCCTGTAGGGATCAAGAACATTTTGATGAACACGTTGGCGCTTAGCAAAATTGCTAGCTTATATGTGGTGATATATGCCTTTTAATGCATATTTTAGTTAGCCATCTTAGCTGGTAGCCTATGGCTAACCTGTACACATCAAGCCTTATTTTGAAAAACATGTTAGCTTTCAGCAAGACATCTTGCATATAAGTGGCTACATATCGCTTTTTACCCTGAACTTATTGAGCAGATTTTGGTTAATGCTGTAAGTTAGCCATTAGCAAGTCTGTAGTTACTGTGTTGTCTTTAGACTGATGAGAAGACGGTTTGATATTGGAGGGTACATACTGAAACAATGAGCTACTGTCCAGATGTAGCATATAGCTAACAGCAACAGTGTATGGAATCTTAGCCGTCATACCTGGGTGAGTATACACACACTAAGTACTATCCTTGTGTTAAATATGAATAAATTCACATTTCGGGTTTTATAGTTGCTCGACTGTCCCATTTTATTTTACTTTGACAGTCTGTTTATACTTCCAAGGTTAGCTTCTCAAGCTACTCTGTAAGTCGTGTAACTTTCAGGACAGCTTTTCACTGCAGAGATGGTTTGACTTTCTATAACAGAGCAGGAGTGTGAGCCAAATAATCCTGCTTTAATCCAGTGTAAATGACCATGAGGGAAGATTTATGCATATACACAGGGTGGTTAAAAGGGCAGAGCCTGACTGCACGAGTGCACGGACGCTATGATACATGTAGGTGGAGGAGAGAGTACACCTCCAGTACTACAAACATACGCACTGACTGAATACTGTCTGTTTATGACCTTGTGATAGTACGCGTGTTAACGTCTGTGTGGATGTGGACGTGTGCTAACGGCAGTTGACCCCAGGCTGGGCCCCCAACACAGTGTCCTGGAGGATTGTGGGTAGCCGGGAGTCAGGTTTGGATTCTGCCTTTTTTTGTGTCTGAGTGCTGACATCACTGTGCTGATGGCACCAAATCCCCCGTTTTACTGCACACAGCACTTTCTATACAAAACACCAACACACACACACACACACACACAAACCTAAAACACCCGCATACACACATTGAGTTATGCAAACTTGGCCAAAAAAAAAAAAAAATTCCTGGCTCTATCTTTTCAGCACACATATACATCCATGTTTGCATTTTTGCTCACACACACACACACACATCAGGCAGAAAAAACGCTTACGTCCACTTCGTATAAGGCACTGATTTTCGTCACTGGAACACACACACACACACACACACATATGTCAGTGCTTTCATAAAGCTGTAGTTTTTTCATCCGTGTCAGCCTTTAATCTCACAGTCAATCGTCGATTTGCTAATAATCCTGGCTCTCTGACCCAGTCTCTGCACGGTCTGGTTAAACATTAACCGTCAGCCTTTCTCTTCCCTCCACTGCTGTCTTTGGTATGTGTACGCAGCCCAGATAAGCAGAGGGGAATCAGGACACATCCTGTCAAGTCCAGAGGAAACGCACGGCCATTTTTTTTTTACAACCATCAAACAGCAAATTGACCATATTGAACTGAAGGAACCTCTTGGATCAAAAGTGAAATGTCTTCAAAAAGACCTACTCCGTCCTCTGTAACTATTTTTGGAGGAACATATTCACTTGTTTGTTGTATTTATGCAGAGAAGCTGTCCTTCCACAGTTTCACCTGAACAGCAGGCAACAAAATTAGTCCTTAAGGTGCATTTTTATATGTTACAATTACTTAATGGCTAAATTGCATTTTTTTGCATCACTGACATAAGGTCAACAAGTTTCTGCAAAGTGGTCTGTTTAATCCTATTAATATAAAAAAGATTACCCATCAATCATTTGAATTGTTTCACCCTGGAACCAGAAGAAAGAAGATGAGGAAGAAAAGTACTTCATTAATGAAATTCACCCAGCAGCAGCAGCAGCAGCAGCTACAGCAGCAGCAGCAGCAGCAGCAGCAGCAACAGCGGCAGCAGCAGCCGCAGCGGC